TTAAAGAAGAATAAATAATTTTTTGTATCTGTTAAAGCAATTTCTTAAAATTATTTTAATTCAAACACCTGAAAGAGAAAATTTCAAACTTAATTTTACGATTTGTTGCATTAATTCAAATAAAACGCGTAAAATGAGAAGCATTTTAAATTATTTTTTAAATCTAAAATAGAAATAATAAATTGTTTTGTTACTTTTTTGACATTTTTTTTACCAATTTTAGAAGTGTTTTATACTAATGAAAATTAAGAGCAATTTGTAGTTTTTTAGACTTTTTTGTGCAATTTGTTGTTATGTAGTTTGTCTCTTCTTAGCTCTAAATCTTTGAAAAAAAAACTAATTTTCTCGATTTAAATTTTAAGCTAAAATTAATTTTGGAAATGATAAGTGTCTTAACTTCAAAAATAATACATTTTTACACAAATTCCTTCATTTTCATAATTTCAAAAAATAATTACTTAAATAATTACGAAAATTTGGTTTCATGTTTATTTTAAAGTTTTAATATCGAAAATTTTAAAAAATATTTCAGTTGATAAATTTTAGAAACAGATCTATAATACTTTACTAAAATTACAAAAAAAAACGCAAATTTTGATGATTTTTTTTTATTTTTTTATAATTTCACATTATTCTTAGAAACAGCATAAGTTTATTTACAACACCCATGAAGAATACGTGACCTGTGGCTACTTTGTAAAAAAAAATCAAATATTTAATAAATAGCCAAAAAATCCATTAAAACCAGCAGAAAAAGCATTTGTTTCTTTACTAAGTAAACTAGAAACTATTGAAAATAAAACAAAATCTTGAAAACAAACAAAAAAATTAACTGTTACTACTTTAATTAAAAAAAAATTCTCAAAAAAATATGATTTAAGAAGAATAAAAAAATATTTTTTTGCATCTATCCCTTCCAAATCTCTTAAAACCATTTATATTTTCATTGAATAATAAGCAAAAAGTTACAGAAAACACCTAAAAGAAAATATTTCAGGCCTAAATTTACGATTTGTTGCATTAATTCAAACCCAACTTTTAAAAGTAAGAAAAATTTTCGTAAAAAATCAATAAATTGAAGAAAAATAACTCAAAAATGTCCTACAATTATAAAATTGACTAGTCTAATCTGTTGCCAACTTAAATTCAAAATCACAGTCAATTTTAATTAAAATTATTTAACTATTTGTTTTATTTCTGTAAAAAATTCCACAATTTAGACATTTTCAAAAAAATACAATTTCGGGTAATTTTTTGTAAAAATGGTGAGAAAAGAAGAAATTAACAAATCTCTCTGAGATTAGCTTGATTGGAAGTGGGCCAAATCGAGGTCCTATTTGCTTACATTTCCTCTCAGTTTGTTAGTTTCGAATCGGAGTGATCCCAGATGAAATATTTCGAAAATTGACAAAATTATCGTTCATTCACCCATCGAAATTTTTTCTCTCGCCCACTTACCATTCCATGGGTGTAAATGGATTACTAACACGCCAAAATCCAGCAAATGTCGTGACGTATCAAAATAATTAATTAGCAAATCATGATAATTAATTATCTCTAAATGTGACATCATGCAAAAAGTATTTTTAGAATGAGAAGATGAGGTCGTGTCAGGTTTCGATATCGAGTGCAAATTCCAAATTTCGTCTCAATTTCCATAATTTAATTCATTAAATTGGAGTTATTTTCCAACACGGGTTCTGGATGCCACATTTAAACAAATTTATCGGTATGTTAATTTATGGTTATGAGCTCGAACAGATGCTCTCGCAAATGTTTTTCAGTTATCAAAGTTTCAGGTTTTTTTTTTTTTGTTTTGGTGGCAAAATTGTCATAAATTTAGCGTTTTCTCAAACAGTAATTATTTTAATGTTTCTTCACTTCTCACATTAAACAGCAATTTATCTGTTTACACAAAAGTTTACATTATGACTTGTCATAATGTTTCCATTGTTTAGCTTTCAAGATGCGAAATTTCACATTCAATTTAAGTTGATATGAAATTGTAGTGAAACCTTTTTTTCTTATTTCAAAGTTGGCTTGTTGAAAAATACTTTTATGACTGTTTTGTGAGGTTTTTATTTATTTTTTAAATGAAAATCTAAATGATTTTAATAGATTTCGATGAAATAAAATTCCCAATTTGTCTTTGTTTCATTTAATTTTGATTATTTTTCAATCTTTTTCTTTCTCTCTTGGTGCATTTCTCAATAAAAATTTTGTTGTTTGTTCTAAACGAATTTTTAGATTGAAAATAAAAATTGCAAATTTGGGGTTTTTTGATTTAATTTTGATCATTTTCAAATTGTATTTTTCGAGGTTTTTTTTATTAAAATATGAAATTGCAAGTTATAAATGTGTCATTTTTTAAATTGTGTGCAGTGTCGTTTTTTATGCTAAAATCTTTACAAATTTACACCCATTTTTGCAAGATTACAAGATTACGATTTCAATTTTTTCAATAATGTCGCAAGATTACGTTTTTTGAGAAATTTTTGTAATTTTTCAGTATTTTGTTGAGTTGAGAAGTGAGGAACAAAACTTAAAATTCGGTTTGAAAAATACTGTTTTGTGTAGTTTTTAATAAAAATGTTTAGATCGACAATAAAAATTGCGTTTTTTTTCTCGACTTTTTTTCAGTTTTTTAAATTAAAACATGAAATTGCAAGATCTACTTATAAATGTCTTATTATTTCGTTCATTTTGTAACGAAAATTTGATCTTTTTTTTTTTAATTGAAATTTTATCACTTCTGGGGTTTTTTATGCTAAAATCTTAAGATGTGGTGCTTTTTTGGAAACAAAAAACTGTTAACTCTGCGGTTTTCCACGTTATTCAATCAAAAACCTGATTGTTTCGGCAAATTTTCTCAAAAAAAAAAATCGAAAATCTACCAACTTGGTTAAAAATACTCGGTAGTTATATTTTTTGCTAAATTTTACCGGTCGAAAATGATATATATTTTTCTTTTCTTTTTTTCGAAAGCTAGTAACCCAATTATTTTAGAAACTTTTGTTAAAAAAAAGCGAAAAATTTAAGAAAATGAACTAAAACGGATGCTATTTTTACCTTTTTGGCAAAAGGAAAGACGCTTTTGAGATAAAAAAAAAAACACAAATTTCGAAAAATTTTATTTAAACAGGCTAAAAAAAATTTTAATTTTTTTTCAAAATCTTGTCCTCACGCCTAAGAATTACAAAAAAAATATGATTTTATCTCACTTGTCAATCGATTCAACTGGTTTTTGAGCAAAATTAAGGCAAAAATAAGCCGAGAAACCTCAAAATTTGGTTGAAACAATTTTTGTATTAAAATCTCAGGTTTTTCGCGAGTTTTCGCTAAAACAAATCAAAAAATCAACAAATTAGGTATTAACAAATTTCTTTGCTTGTTACTTCGATTTAGTACATTTTGTAACGAAAATTTTGTCTATTTTTTTAATTTTGTGTTATTTTCATTAGTTTTAAGCCCATTTACCGACAAAAAAAAAATACATTTTCGGGTGTTTCGTGAAGGTTTTTTTTTATTTATTAATAAAAATTTAACATTTTAAACAGATTTTGCTGAATCGTGTCAAAAAAATCTTAAATTGGACACAAAATATATTATTTTGAACAGTTTTATCTCATTTTAATTATTATTGAACAAAAAGTTAAATTTTGAAATTTTGTTCAATTAATCCCAAAGATTTGCTGAAATGCAATTGCAGTGATAAGAAAACTTTTTAGAGTGACATTTTTGAGATATTTTTGCTTGGTTTAATTCATTTTTAAACGAAAATACTTTTCATTTTACGAGTTTGATTTGAATTAATGCAACAAATAGCAAAATTAGACCTAAAATATTCTCTTCCGTGTGTTTTCTGTAACTTTTTTCAATGAAAATCTAAATGGTTTTAAAAAATTGCTGGATAGATGCAAAAAATTATTCTTTATTCTTCTTAAATCGTATTTTTTGAGATATTTTTTAAATTAAAACAGTAACAGTTAATTTTGTTTATTTTTAAGATTTTGTATTATTTTCGTTAGTTTCTAGACCATTTTTTAAAGAAAAAATACTTTTTCAGCCGTTTTGCTTAGCTTTTTGTGCATTTATTATTGAGAATCTTTATATTTTATTGAATTTATTCAAAAAAATCCAAAATTTGACAAAAAATATGTCACCCTGGATAATTTTATTTAATCTCATTAATTTTTAAACAAAAATTCTAAAATTTTAGTGAATTAATACAAAAAAGGCAAAGATTTACTAAAATGCAGCTGCAGTAAAAACAAGATTCATTTTAGATTTTTTAAACAACATTTTTGTGGTATTTTTCTTCAAACTGATTCACTTTTTCACAAAAACATTTCTAATTTTAAGAGTTTTAAAGGTTTCAAGGTTTAAATCAAGTAATAAATCGTAAAAATTTGACTTAAAACATACTTTGTGCTGTTGTATGTAATTTTTTGGGTAATTTTTAGTAAAAATCTAAACGATTTTAAGAGATTTCACTGGATAAAAAATTGCAAAATTTGTCGTGTTTTATTTGATTTCGATTATTTTTTAACAAGAATTGACCTTGAATTTAGAAATTCTGTTAAATCAATCAATACAAGAAATCGCAAAATTAAGATTGTTTTGTTTAATTTCGATTAGGGTAAATCCGGGAGAGATAGACCAGCAGGAGAGATGGACTTTTGAACCTAGAACCCTTCTAGGACTCAATTTGCAAAATAAAATGCATAATAAATAAACGAACTTTGTTACTTTCTCTAAACTAAACAAATAACTAGTAAAAAAACTGGATCAGAAACATAAGAAAACACTTGATAATTAATGTAAAGTTTGAGACAATGAAAGTTAAAAAAACTTCCAAAAGTAGATTTTTGTTAACTAGTTGAAATAAAAATTGCAAAAATGCAAAATTCGTCTTGTTTTATTTGATTTCGACAATTTTTTTAACGAGAAAACGAAATTACGAAATTAAAAAATTAATTTAAAAAAAAAGAATCACTGACCTTGGGTTCGGTTTTGAGCTTCTTTGGAGGCGGCGACGAGCTGCGTTCGTCGATGATATTGGTGGCGGGTGTATTCGTCGGCGGCGCATTGGCGGCGGCCACTTTGGCCTGTTCCGGCTTGGCGGCGGATCCTTG